TTTCAAATCTCTGGCGTTGCTGCCGCCCCCGGCTCATGTTTTTGGTCGTTAGTTGGTCGCTTTCTTTTATGAGCAGCACAACGGACGACCTTTTAATTAAGACCCACTAAACCACATACATACATAAAAAAGCGTGATGATGATGGCGTAACATTACGCATACGTTGGCTCAGAAGAAAATTAACTTCAAACGTTGGACACACACACTCGTACATACTACGGCATGAGGCCCCTAGGGTTCAATAAACTGGTCTTCTCCTGTTGCTTCGTTGTTGCTACTACTGTTGGCAAACGTTTTGCAACGAAAGTTAATGAAAAAGAAATTATAAACATTTTTATGTAAACATAAAACACAACCAACCGCCAACAGTTTTTAATGGCAGCGACCGCACTTAAATTGCGCGATTTATTTCCTCTCTACGCCAAATAAAAAACAAACAAATCAAAAAACACACAAAACAAACCACAAAAGTTAATGAAATTCACTTAAAGGGAAGCACATGAATTTGAAATGCGAGCAAAATTATTGCAAGAAATATGATGAGCACGCAAAATAGCATAGCTGTCTGCCTAAGCCGGCTACCTCATATTTATTGCGCATACGCAACGTGCGCCCAAACATAACTGACATTATCGTTGCCATTACAAGTCAGTACTGAATACTCTGTGCGGTTATTAACTGGGCTGACTTGGCAGTGTCCACTTGGCTGATTTGTTGGCTTATAGCTCGCTGCTGCTACTGCTGCCGCTGCCGCTTCTTCTTTTCCTTCCGTGACTTACTGCAGTAAGCGCGACTTTGCCAACGCTTCAATACGCTGGCTAAATGTGCTGGCTTTTTCTTTATTTTACTCTTTCATGGATTACGCAATAAACACACATGAGAGTCGGGCAGGTACAGGTACACGTAATGAGCACAAACACTCATTCACACACACACACACACACACACACACACACACACACACAAGCATACACATACAAACATGCACAGAGGCGGACACACCAATATTGATATTTTTGTTGAAGATTTTACGTTTCATTTTTGGCTCTCGAGGGCTCGTTGTTGTTGCTGGCTTGCTGACTGTCCAACACTTGGACTCGAGTGGCCACCAACTGTTACCACAGCCAAAACGACACCTACAACTGGCCACAGTGGGGCCCTGATGACGATGGCGATGATGATGATGACGACAAAAAGAAACAGAAACAGAAACTGCATAAAGCATCGGAGTTTCGTAATGAACGAAAATGCTCATTCATCGTCGTCGTCGTCATCATTGTCGTTTTGCCTGAAGAAGGAAAACTTAATGCGCATAAATTAAAAATAATCAAAATGCATTAACTTTTGTTTAGTTAGCATTTGGCTATACCAAAAGAAGAAATATACGAAATCTTTACAATGTACCGAGCATATTATTTACATAATCTTTCTTGCTCTCTACGGCTCTGGTACTCACACTTACTCGTACAATATTTGGCTCATCACAATGGGCCAGGCGATGTGAATGGCTAACCAAAAATTACATCTACATGTTATTAGTAAGAAGAATAACTCATGAATTTGAATAAAGCGGTGAAATTGTTAAGCATTACTTCCTCACACTTTGTACTAACATATGCAGCGATTTAAAGGCCAAAACTCCGACTGTTTCGTTCCAGACCCGTTTTTCACCCGCTATTCGAAATCTTACTTAATTCAAAACGTAATTTATAGGAAATCGAAATTTGCACCAAGCAGATTTAGTTTCCTCAACGTCAAATTAATATATACTATTTATTCATATATATTTTACATAAACAAACGAAACCTGTTCTTTCAATTTATCTAAAGGTTTTGAAAAATGGCAGTAAAAAAGTATAATAATTATAACAAACTTAAAAAAGTTATGCTTATGATCTATAATAAGATATATCTGTTCTGGCAGTGCTATGTTGCTTTTTATGGTGCGGATGGGTTTACCAACTGCTGAAACATAAAGCACTTGAATGTTTTCTGCGTAGTTGTTAAATGGAAGATATTTACTCTTGTTCTACTTATAATGAATAGCAATTAAGCCGTTAAGCTTCCTCTCAAAATATAGTTGCTTTGCAAATGTATCGTCAGAACAATAATAATAATTATTGTCGTCGACGTACAATAATACTTATAATTATCATCGCACAACAATTATAAGTACAAGCGGGTTGCATGGACTGATGAGATTAAATTTTTTCGTAGTACGTAACAAATTTTGTTAATTATGGTGTGTGTAATTTTCAGCAATAGATAAAGTGGTTTTTTCATTCCTTATTAAGGCGAAAAGTGCACTTCCCTATATCAAATCAGAAATTGTTTTAAAAATAGTTTCCATTCGAACACAAATTATTGATAATAGCAATGGAGAAATCAACCTCTTGCAGTATAAACAAATGTGTCATGTAAATAGAATTTAGTTCCTGGTGATTAAAGAGATAAGCTACATATTTAATTTAATATTTATAAAATATTGTAGATAAATAAAATATAAATGCATACTTAGAAAACAGCCAAATTAAACTCTGCTTGTTATTCCGAAACGTATATAGAAGTCGATGACATCAACGACATGAGCATTAAGAAAGTAATAATCTAAAAAAGTATTGCAAATCATTTGATGACAAATATCAAATAAAATTCGGTTATAATGCAATTTTTGAATGGAACTTTGGCTCATTTAGGGACGTATACGATTGACAATGTGCCATTGCTACGAATATCGACTGTTGAAGACCTTGGGGTTCTTTTTGATTCCAAATTGAACTTTAACCTTCGCATATCCAGTATTGTCAATAAGGCCAAGGGATTACTTGGATTCATTAAACGTAGGTCCAACGAATTTAATGACCCTTATACCCCTAAGCTTCTTTACACTGCTCTAGTACGCCCTGTGCTTGAATACAGTATAGAAAGTATCAGGAAAGTATTGAGTCTGTTCAGAAGCAATTCCTTCTTTTAGCTCTACGTGGCTTAAGCTGGGATCCCAATCTCTGCTTGCCATCGTACTCTAGTAGACTGATGCTTATAAACCTTCCTTCCTTAGTAACTCATAGGACGGTTCTTGGAGTAGTTTTTCTCCACAAGTTGGTTATCGGTGAGGCTGACTCCCCTGCCCTCTTAGGCCGCCTTAATTGTTCAGTTCCTTGTAGACCAACAAGGAATTATTTGCCGTTCATATTGGCAAGATGGACAACTGATTACGCTTTGCACAATCGTTTTCGGGTCATGTGCAGCCATTATAATGATCTTTCACATTTACTTTCGACAGGACTCTCCCTATGTTCTATCAAAATTATTCTTTATAATTATCTTCGGGGAAATCTCTGACCTCTTACTGCTGTGAGTTGGGGCATAGCTTGCCGGACTGGCATTTAAAATTTCCCCCACGGGGTTGGAGATTTCCCCCTTTTTATTTTCGTCTCTCTCTTTCCACCTTTTTCTTTCCCCATTTCTCTATCTCTCTCTCCACCTTTTTCTTTCCCCATTTCTCTATCTCTCTTTCCTTCTTTCTTTTTCTCTTTTACTCTTTCTCTTTCTACTTCTTACTTTTTCTAATTAGTTCTTAAATATGATTAATTTTCCTCCCCTATTTACTTTTTGTATAGTTCTTTAGGTCTATAATGTCTCTCTGAATCGGGGCATAGCTGGCCAACTGGGAAATAAATTTCCCCAACGTGTCGGAGGCATTAATGGACGTTATTGTACAGCTTTGTGTTAGGCTTTCTTAACTTTAAAGTTTAGTTTAAATTGTTATATTAAGTTATATTATATATTCGACAGATTGTTGATATTCTAAATAAAATAAAAAATAAATAAATAATAAAATAAAAATAAAATATTGTTACAGTATACTTGTATTTATGCATATGTCTTAAATGTTATTAAAAAGCAGTCATTGTCACAAAAATATGATGAAGTATTGAGTTGGATTATATTTGATATTGACACTGAAATTAAATATTCCTGAAGTGTACTTTGACCTACAAATGGCTTTGATTGTTTCAATAAGGAGTGTAAGATATGCATTTTAATTTGTGTCTTGTGTGCGTCAAAGGCCAAACACCCAAAAGTGGTCCAACGGTGGTCAGGCCTAAGACAATAGCACTTCAAAGTCAAGCTTTCTGGCCCACTCGTTTTGCTCTCAATGCGAAGGTAATTGACACCCACACGACTACTACAATAACACATCCAGTTGTAAAGCTTAATTGATGGACAAAAGCAATAACATTTTAATAGAAATAACACAAGTTTGTGATCGTGTTGAAGCCTCAACCCCATCAACATCCACATCCATGGACGGGCCCAAAGTCTAATCAATTGCCGAGCACATGTGGCCATAATTCACTTTTCGGCTTCGGCTTCGGCTTGCAACACTGTGCAGTCAACAGGGTGACGCGCAACAACAACAACAACAACAACAACAATAATAACAACAACAGAAATATTAACAGCGGCAACTACAATGATATATACCCACAATGATGGGTAACAAGAAAACGTTGTCGTTAAAGTTTTTTTTTAGTTTGTATTTTTTGGTTGTTGGCTGTTTGGCTGTTTGGCTTTATGAAAGCCAAAAAAGCAAACGATACGATTAGCCAATGCCGATGGCCCGCTTGTCCGCTTGGCCTGCTTGTGCTTCTTCTTCTTCTTCTTCTTGAACACGTATAGGCCAATTGTTTTCAGTTGGCCAGCAAATGTGGCAGTGACTGAGTTGTTTGCGGTGATTGTTGTTGCTGCCTCGTCTGCTGGTAGTTGGTCAATAATTGGCATAGATTTATTTTGGCTTGTTGGCAATTTTTCCAACTATTTTCCCAACGCTGCCACTTTTTCACAAAATCACTAACAAATCTTGGGCAATTGTCTGTACGTTAGTGGCTATACTCGCGTGAATGTGTGTGTGTGTGTGTGTGTGTCTTGTAATGACAGGCCATATAGTCTGGCAGTTACAAACATACATGCTACTTATATATGAAAGAAAACTCACCAACTTCGCTGACGCTCAAAATTTCCGCTGAATTTCCCGCCTCTTGCTTTTCGCCGCCTGCATTTTGTTTTTGGTTCGCTGTTGTTACTGTTGTTGCTGTTGTTGTTGTTGTATTTGCCACTGCTTTCGGCTTTTGTTGCTGTTGCTGTTGTCTATTTGCACCATTAGTTGTTGCCAAGTTTGTTGTTGCATTTGTCTGCGCTTCACTTTCTGTTGCCGATGTCGTCTCCACCAACGTTAGCAGCATTGTTGCCAACGCCATAAACAACAACAACCAACGCCAAAATGATTCATTGCTTCGATGAATTTTCATCAGCGACATCGTAACCGGAGCATATAGTGTATGATGTTGTTGCTGCTTTTGTTGCCTCCGCTCTGCTCTGCTCTGCTGCTGCCGCTGCCGCTGACGTGCCCTGTTTTTTTAGCCGTTTGTTAGTTTCTCGCAGATTATTTATCTTTTTTCTATTGTTCGTTTGGACACTTTTCCACAATTGTCTGTAGAATGGACGCAGCCAACGAGGCGTTGCAAGTTTTGCGTTTTGTGGCAGCTACAGCTGCAATTTCAGTTGCTTCTCCGTCTTTTCCTCTTCTGCTTCTTCTGCTTCTTCTCCTCGATGTTGCGTGCGGTCTTTCGAATTTTTCTGCGGCTGCCGACGTCGACTTATCGTTAATACTTTGGAAAATCGCACACCCCCTTCTCGTTGTTGTGGATGTTGCCGTTGCTTTTGTCGATTGTGTTCTCCTATTTCACTCCGCATTTGTACCTGGAAAATGTTGGAAAAGTAAAAAGCTATTTAAAAAAAAAAAACATTCCAATAGTTGCTTCTTTATGTAGGCTATATGAATATATGTATAAGACAGAAGGTAGGGGAAAACTACTTTCATACAAGTGAAAATCGTTAACCATATGGGTCTTTCAAGACGCGCCAAAATCAACAAATCAAATAATTGCTTGATTCTTCAGAAAGGGTGCGCGCCGTAATTTAAACATTGAGAAGAACGCAGGATGGACTATTCTGAATAATAGACAGACATTTATTCCATTGAAGAAAACCAACCGAAGGATCATCCTTGGTCCCTCACGTAGGGGACTTTCTGAACAGCCAATATTTCGAAATAGTGATTCATCCCCTTTATAGCCTACCTAATTCATTTTTTTTACTATCATCTTAAAAAACAATAAAACAAGCGAATGCAAAGTAACATGAATATCTTTGTAGAATAGTTTGAAAGACAATAAAAAAGTTAGCTTTTGTGCTCTTTTCTCCAAACATAAAAGCAGAGCTTCGCAAAATTCAATTTTTAGGACAATTATCTGAGCTTTTGTTTAATAGAGGCAACTCCATTGAACAGATATTTAATAATTTTTGACAGATTTTAATAAATTCTTTTCTTAGGCCCTTCTTATAAGCTCTTCTACGCTCTCTCTTTCTTTCAAACGGCCGATTTGTTTGTTTATAACTTGTATGTTGTAACATGTATGTATTTCAATTGGTCAGCCGTCTCCTTTACACATTTTACATTTCATTTTTTAAATAATATTTTAAAAGATAATGCAGCAAATATTGGCTATATATATAAGAAGTTACCATATTTAGACGCTAGTCAAATATATACAGTTCTTGATTTGTAAATATCACAATTGTTTGTAAGCTCTAGCTAATTCTGAGCATTTTTCAAGTAGGCAGTAGTTTGTTTTACAATAACAAATATTGGCATTATTATTGAATCTTAAAATTCTTGGGGTATGACATCAAGCTGCCATATGCTAAGCCGCTTTGTCTATTGAGTCGGCAACATCGTAAACTATTGGCCATCATTGGCACTACACATGTAGATAATAATAAATCGCATTAAGTAAGAGTGATAACTGAGGTCGCCAAATCGCGCATACGCCCTGTTGTACATTGCTCGTGACAGCCGCATTGAATATTGAGCCATAGGCCAATCCATATATTTGGGCATAGTGGAGTTTTATTTGTATGTACACTAATGTATACATATTCGACTTTTTGAGTATCTTTATGGCAATGTATGTCATTGCTGTGGCTGCCAGAAACCAATTAAACATATTGAAGCCACGCACTCGGCACCGACGACGAAGACGAAGTCGACTGCGGCGGTGACAATGCGGGCTGTGGGCCTTTGGAAGACAGCTTGCGCAAAATTACGTTAGCAAATTTCACTTGATTTGGCATGCCGTTAAAATCGCTAATGAAATGCAGCTATGGAAATATGTATAGAGAAACAATTACAACTATGTGGTAGTGGCTGAAGGAAAACGCTTGATAAGCACGTGCGCTTGGATGTCTGGGTGCGCCAGCAAACGCCAACGCAGTCGTCACCGCCTTCGTATTGCTTTGCGTAATGCAACTAAAATTATAGAAAATTAGCTATAAGGCAATTAAGTAGGTAACTGCTATTATGAGGGGAACATGAGTAACTTCTTGACGACCAAGTAGGACTTATAGTCGAACATGTAACGAAACACTGCAGTAAAATTACATTTATAAATAACAAGATTTCTATTTATATCAAAACTCCAACCACTACTTAGTATGGCCATTAGGAATGTATAAACCACTTCGACAATGCCTCGAAAAATATTACTACCAACTGCCGATATCAATGATAAATGGTAACTGCTATATACATACATTTGCAAGGAGAATTAAAAACCACGTTCGGGCCTCGAATATTGTGTTTGATTAGTAAAAATATTTTTAATTGAAATATATACATACGTTGCTAGGTTAATAACAGTAAAACATAATAATCTATTTAAATATTAAATTGAAATTGCAGTATCTCACTATAGATTCAATAAAACCTTTTACAACTAGGCTCCCCTTTAATATTTTTTAAATCTATTCGATTACCTAACATTTAGCATTCTTTAATCGTCATATCCAGATTTTTTATTACTTTTAAGTGTAATGTAATGTTAACATATAAGACCTCTCCTGTTTGAGTTAGGAATCTTATATGTACACATTTTTATATTTTAATCATGAATTACTACAATACTATTATACAATTAGTATTTTGTTTTGAATTTATCAGTTAAGGTATTCAAACGAACCGGAGACATCGTTTATATGGTAGATATTATAACACTATTTGAAAATCAAACTCAATCACTTTACGATGCTTATGCTGATGAGTTGAGGAGAAAGAAGAGAAACCGTGTTATGCCGTTTCTATTGGCATGGGCAAACGGCAGTTAACAAAGTAACCGAAAAAGTGTATAGTTTTCGTTTTTGGTTATCTTTAGAATCTGGCATTTTAATCAATTGCCTTTGGCAGCTGTCAAAGTTCAATGCTCGCCAGGGGCCACATTTGGGCCTAGAACCTAATGCGAGCTGTCAGAAGCTTTGTGCTGACACATATGACAAATGAAACAATTAATTGAAGATCGCCTCAGCATAATTACTTCTTTTCAGAGATAGCTCCACGAAAGGTAAAAAAATATTTGCATGTGTACAAAAGAACCACCAACAGGGACTGGTGTTCGGCAAAACTTTAATTATAGAATACTATATAGCTATGGCAAATGAATAGATATTTAAATTATAGGTATGCGTGTGTGGTTATATGTAGTAAGTAATATTTCATATATACTTGTACATATGATTTAGAAGTTTTTTGCTCATTAATTCAGAGCTAACAAAAACTTTGTTTAATTATAAGAAAGCATGTGCCTTCGGCTTTGCTTGCTTTTTTTTTACATGACTTCGCTCAGTTTGTTAATATGTTATAACATCAGCGTTCTAAAGAGATAAAAAAATAAATAAAAAATAAAAATTACAACAACACGCCAAACCTCAATCAACTTTTGTTGGGGCTTAGAATTTTTCGTGATTTTATTGGTGCGGCATTTTTTGTGTCATGTCGGGTCCGGATCTTGGGGGCTCAACAATCAACGTCGAAAGGCGGCCAGTTAATTGAAGTGGCTTACAATTGGATGAGTTCGAAGTATTTTTGGTTTGTACCAATTGTTGTTGTTGTCGTTGTTGTTTTGATTGCTGATAAAGTGCGCGCCTTTGAAAGCCATTTGGAGCGCACACTCGAGCCCCGATTGCGGCACAGAGCCAGAGCGTGCGAAAGAATTTTGCCCGCTGGGAACAGGAATTCGAGTCGAGTCGAGACGAGACGATCTAACCAACACCTACTACTGACTAGTACCCAACAATATAAGAGCGCCGTTTATAATTATATTTGTAATGTTTGCTTGTGATACGAATATTGTATTATGCGGTACAACAACAATGGATAGGGTTTTTTATTTTAGACATGACTGACACAGCTGATTAAATATGCAAATTGCCGTTGGGAAATCGTGTTCCCGTAACTAGTCGTGTCTTCCACAACTAGCGGAGATATCAATACGAGTTTATCGGTAAAATCTTGCGCATCAATGAAATGAAAACATCCAGCAATCTGGTGAGCCTCATCGCTAGCTATTGTTGTAATCGTTTAGCTTCGTCGCAAACAAAGCAAAGCGGGCGAACTGAGCATTCCGTAAACAAAAATCAACCATGAAACGCAAATAAATACAATCTTCATATAAATATTTATCGTGCCAGCTGCAGTAAATTTGCAAAAAAGCAGCAAGAAGCTGCCTAAGATTCTACCAAGATTATGAGATTGGTCAACAGCCCTAAGTGACTCAGAGAACCCCTAGTTTAACTACTCAGAGCTCTATAATGTTATCGGGATGTTGAGTTAGTCCAGTTCTTTTATTTTAATTTGACGATTCAATTGACAAGTAAAATTATTTACTTGTAAATGAAAGAATTAAGAAAACCACCGGAAATTACTCGACTACCTTACAAATTTACGATGCTTGGGCCAACTCACTTCTACATATTCCTTTAAATATATTTAAGGCATTTATTGTTGTTTAGATTAACAAGAGATCATAACAGGAATATGATTTCTCATAGCTTGCTTTTCCACTATTTCTAGGAGTGTTTCATTCCTATAATCATAAAAATGAGGCTGTGAAGCCATTAATTTGATTATTTTTCTAATAAATGTATCCTTTAATATCTTTGCTGATCAATTTGAGTTAACACTCAGAAGCATTATTCATTTTCGGTTTTAGTTTCAAATTTCATATTCCCAATATCAAAAGATTTCTTTATAAGTCAACTAAACATAAAAGTAAATTGTTTTATATAACAACATTTTCATAATAGAAAATTAATACTAAATTGAATTTTATTTAACACTAACTGTATGAAATAAAAATTGGAATTAATAATTTTGAGTTAGGTGGTAGAATGTGGTTTTCGGGTTGGGCAGAGCAGTCGAAAATTAGACTAGTAGCGCAAGTTATTCATAATTTTTGAAGAAAGATTCCACATTAGGCAGCGACCAGCGATCTATCAGCTTCGCTCTGTCAATCATTGCGCCCCTAAAAGCACATCCGCACTTCTAATAATATAGAAATTAAGTATTAAGCCATAATTAGCCAACATTAATGCCTGACTTATGTATACAAGTAGTATGTGCATGTTTTGTGTACGCAAAAGTAGTAAGTAAGTACACATGTGTGTACGCAATTTGTCAGCCATGAAGGTGAGCTTCATTTTTGAGTGTTTCAATTCGAAGCCACGCATGACAAAATCGACAGCAGATTTCGTCAACTATGACTTCCTTTTTGTAGATTTGTACTACTACTTATAAGTACGAGTACATAGTACATAATAAAATAATTATGAGCAAGAAATATTAAGTAATTTGTAGGTTGAGGTACGAG